AGGAAATTGTAGAATGTTCAGTATTACTATATTTTTATTGTAAACCATAAAACAATTGAGAAAAATACAACGAAATTAATGTAATTAGATTTTTAAATTAAAAAGGAAAATTCAAAGTAGTTGGTTTAAAAACACCGTAGTTTAAAAAAACTTAAAACGAAGTAAAAACTTCTTTTTGCAGAATGGTAAAATTTGTTCAAAATTATCCCCAATGGATTTTTAAATTTCAGGACGTTTTCAATCCTATTAGATCATCCTCGGTTAAAAACGTCTACACAGTATTTGGAACTAGCCACTGATGAGGTTAAATGATTGTTAAATACATACATTTTTAAGGAAACGTACAATTTCCCAGCTCTAAAAGGATAAACTTATGCCCTGAGATGCAACAACCCTTGTTGTTGGGTCGTCCACCAATATATGATAAAATAAACTTCGGAGTAGTATTAGGTGTGGCAAAGAATCATCGAATTAATTTAAGGCAAATTGCAGCTCCTATAAACATTTGTAACAGGTCTGTGTTCTGTGTACTATCAAAGAGAAATACCATTCGTATAAAATTCGTCATGTCCAGAAAGTCAATGAGTACGATCCAAATAATTGAAAGCAGTTTTGCGGAAGCAATTCAAGATTTATGTTCAGGATTTATCAAAATCCCCGGGGATTCATTCAGCCCCAATCTCTTCAATTTGATTATAGATGAAAATCGTCCAAAGCGTTAACAAAAGAAGAGGATTCAGAATGGTAAACAAAGAAATCAAAATACTCTGTTACGCAGACGACGCAATACTAATATCCCAAGATGAAGATAGTCTGTAAAGACTGCTCCACAAATTTAATATAAGAGAAAAGGAATTTAATATTACAATTTAATCTCAGAAAATTAAAACAATAGTAGTCAGCAAAGAACCAACCAGATGTAAAATAGAAATTGATAGCATCAGTATTGGAACAAGTAAAGGAAATAAAATACCTGGGAATTAAACTGTCTAGATATAGAGACCTAGACAAAGAAGTGAGATATCAAGTACAGCAAATAGGAATGCCATAACACTATATGGCGAAACAGACACATTGACAGTGAGATGAAGTCAAGAATTTATAAAACCAGTGTAAGACCAATAATAACATATACCTCAGAAACAAGACCCGACACAGCCACAACACAAAGGCTACTAGAAACGGCGGAGATGAGAGTACTGAGAAGAATTACAGGAAATACGTTCAGAGATCGAAAGAGAAGTGAAGATTTTAGAAGAAAATGTATCGTACAGTGTATAAATGAAATGGAAAATACAGAAAAAAAGAATGGAATAACCACATAAGCAGAATGGAGGAGACCCGTGTCGTCAAAATAGCAAGAGATAAGTCACCAATCGGCAGAAGAAGTATCGGACGACAGCGCAAAAGATGGAGTGACAACCTTCCATAGAGGTATTAATCCGCCAATGATAAAGCAGAATTGCTTATAAAGAGAAGGAAGAAGAGGAGGAAGAAGAAGAAAATCCACGATTCATTCATCAAATCATTTTTTTATTAAGCCAAACTGCTTTTTACATGGAACAGTGAATTGGCAAAACTGCAGATATTGGAGTAAAGACAATCAATCCTCATTGGATGATTCAGGCAGATCCTAAGCACCATAAAAATGGGCAATGAGCCTCTTACGGGGCAAAAATATCTTGATTTTATTAATCATAACTTGCTAAATGAAAATATAATATTTCAGTAAGACGGGTGCACCTCAGTACTTTTCACTTTCTGCTCATGATTTTTTAAATAGATGTTTTCCTGGGAGCTGGATTGGTAGACGAGAAATATTAGAGTGACCTCAACATATCCACATATTAAACTATCTTTTCCTATGGATTTACTTAAAATGAAGAGTTTAACAAATTTTACAAGATTAAAAAAAATAAATAAATTAAAAATTCGTAATTATAACTTCACAATATTCAAGAATATTGCTGTTGTTGAATTACTGCCAAGAAGCAGGCAGCTATTTGAACATGTAGTCTATCGAAACTCAATTTTTTTTGTCAAATAAATATTTTTTTCTAATTACTATTAATATACATACGGGTACAAATTAATTTAATTCAAAAATTAAATATTTTTTGGCCACTATGTACCAATAATTATGATAATGTTTACATCACTGAATAAAAAATCTTTCAGAAAAGGTAGCACACGACCCATACCCTATTTAATAAAAAAATCATCAATTAAATCACGACCAGATGGATACAGTCACTAGTATGATATATATACCAAAAATCATATTTTAAAATTTAAAAATCGAACTGTTGGAATTTTTTCCCTAAAGTCGCCTATTCTAAAAAAAACGGGGTTTTCCATATTTTTGCCTCCCAGTGTATATTGCTATCAGAGGAAATAAATATTTTGGCTGAATTTAAACACCTCTCAGCAAAAAAGCAATTGCTAATGGCGCAAACTTTTTGGGGATTTTTTTATTACGAACATAAACACGACATAAAGGCATACCTATCTCATGAAAAAGTCTAAAGTGCGGGAAGTTCTATTTCCTGGTAAAGTACAGCGAAAGAAATCTAAATTAAAAAAAATCCAAACGATATAAGAAAGATAACGAGTGTGTATACACTGAACAGTTTCGTTTGAATATACTTACAACTGCCAGTAACTGCCAATTTTATTCATTTTGGAATAAAATAAAAAAAAAATGAACATTATACCTATACAGGGTGATCCTTAAGAAATTGGACAAAAAGAAACCGTAGATTCTACACTTTAAAATATTACGATTTAAGCCAAATTTTTTTAATAAAATATTGATATTAAAATAGATACAGGATGTTAAAGTGGAAATTTAAATTTTTTTAATTTTCGCTATAACTTTCTTGTTTGTGAACATTTATGTATAAAAATTCATACCTGGGTACTATTAAACATCAGGAATTATAATTTGATACACACTTTAATGTAGCTAATAGCACATTTGCACTTAACTTTTTTTCTCTTTAGGATACCGGTGTTGGTGATAAAAAATATTAATGATACATTATTTTAACAAAAAAAGGTATACTTGTTAATAACTTCAAAACTCAACAGTTTCCGAGATAACCGCATTTTACAAATGAACTACATAATTCTGATTTAACGCAATCACTCCAGGCAACCAAAGAAAATTAGACAAAAGCATAAATACTTCTGAATTTTGATATAAAATGCCTTTAATAAAGTTAATAGTTAACGAAATATTAAATTAAATAAATATATCAGTAGGATAGTTAATACAGATTTGACAAAATAATAGAATAATTGGATCTTACATAAAACATTTTACGTTTTTTATTAAATTAAAGTCATAATCAAAATATTTTATGTACAAACCAAATTAAGAAATAGTTAAACTAAATAACATTAAAATTTTTGTCAAAGTAAGTGTTCGATATGTTCACCATTTTCATTAATTTATTTGTCAATACTTTCCATAAAAGATCGTCTCTTATAATAAATACTGCAACAGTTTCTTTAGAACCAATAATGCTATTTAATATGAGACGTTCTTTTATGGAATCTATTGACAAATGAATTAAAGAACTTACTTTGATAAAAAGTTTAATGATAGTTAGTTTAACTATTTCCTAATTTGGTTTGTAAATAAAATATTTTGATTATGACTTTAATTTAATACAAAATGTAAAATGTTTGATGTAAAATCCAATTATTCTGTTATTTTGTCAAATCCTACTATTAACTATCCTGCTGATATATTTATTATATTTAATATTTCGAATATTAACTTTAGTAAAGGCATTTTATACGAAAATTCAGAAGTATTGATGTTTTTGTCTAATTTTCTTTCGTTGCCTAGAGTTGCCTCGTTTTTTTTTGTTAAAATAATGTTTCTTTAATATTTTTTATCACAAACACCGGTAACGTAAAGAGCAAAAAGCTAAGTGCAAATGTATGCCACATATGTGGCATATGTTACGCCCTCTATCAGCTAAATTAAAGTGTGCATTAAATTATAATTTCTAATGTTCAATAGTACCCAGCTATTAATTTTTATACATTATTGTTAACAAACATGAAAGTTATAGTGAAAATTAAAATTTTAAATTTCTACTTAACACTCTTTATCTTTCTTAATATCAACACTTTATTAAAGCAATTTAATAGAAACTATGATTTCTATGGTGTAGAATTTCTATGGTCTCTTTTTGTACAATTACTTAAGGACCACCCTGTATATACAACTTCCAAATATTCGTGAGGTTGTGGCCAATAGGCCTAGTGATTATAACACTAAACATATGTAGACACTTTTATTAAAAGTCGAGCTTTTGAAATTGCTTAGTTGCTTTAGCCTGCTTAGTTAAATATATTTTAATTAGTTTTGTGTAATTTTATTCGTAAAAAGTACTTAGTAAAAATGTTCAATAGTTAGCAATCCATATCAACATTTAGTGAGTATTTTTTGCAAATAGAATGTTATAAAACGAATTATAATATATTTTAGTTTTCTTGATAAATAAACTACGCAGTTTCGAAAGCTTTACTTTAAAAAAAAGAGTCTACTATGTTAGTGTTGTAATCACTGAGCCTTTTGACCGCAACCTCACGAATCATTGAAAGTTTTACTTTACTTGCCGGTCACAAACAACAACTTGCATATATATATATATATATATATATATATATATATATATATATATATATATATATATGTATATATATGTATATATATATATATATATATATATATATAATGTTTATTTTTTCACTTTATTAAAAAATTAATAAAACTGGCAGTCATTTTCAAATATCCGGATCATCTTCTTTATTTTAGGCTGTTTTATATAAGATATAAATTTAAATTTTAAATATGATTACCATATTTATTTTACACAATCCTACCGACTGCATTTCTTATTATTTAAATATTTTACCTAACATAATAATTTTATTATTAAATAAGAAGTGTATTTGATGCGTATGTCAAAGTTCGAACTCACCCCTAAGAACGTCAGCAGGGATCAACCTCCTGTAAGTTTTCGGGCCATCAGCCTTGGCTTCTTCTTCCGCAGCAAAGGCTACGGCCAAAAACATAACAACGAGCACTACGTAGCTGTTCATTTTTGAAAAATTAGGTAGCAAGTTGTTCAGGGTGCCGACCCCTTAAATTATATTATTGCGAGTTATGAAAGGACTGAGTCAAAGTCGGTTGCATATTGTATTATATAGGGTTTTTTAGTCGATGGTATATGCCCCACTATCGTACTACCGACTCGTCGCTCCGATGCTGGCGTGTGATCGTGTTGTTGAAGAGATACGGGAGTAAATGGATATTTTCTGTGTAATTATTCATAACGAAAGATGGTATCTTATGTTAAGTCCAAATGAAAGTAGTTTTATGATTATTACAGCGGTTATTAAAAAAATAAGATTGTGTTGTCAATGAGGTGATATGTGTCGCATAAGTCAGATTATGTAAAATTTTTCAAAATTTCAAAAAAAGGATAAATTGCTACTTTTATTTCCTGATATTATAACCATGTCTAGTATTAATACATTGCGTACAAAAAAATAGTTTTGACTTAATTAGAATATTCATTTTGCGTATTGCTTATTACAGAATAGATAATTTAATGACAGTCTAATTCCTATGTAAGTGATACAGAAAACCGTGATGAAAACACTAGGAAAAGTCCTAATGACACTATCTCGATATGGTAAGTATTTGGTCTTACATTTATAGTGTATTTTTATGTATAAGAGAGTAATAAAACAATAAATTATGTATGCAAATCCCTAAACTGTTGATACGGGTGACTCAATGAAAAACAGATATTTGTCAACAAGTTTACAGAAGTATATAGGAAAACAATTTTAAATTGAGTATGACCACCAGGTATAAAGGTTGGAACAGAATAGAATACAATAGTTGTGAGGGTTACTAATCCCTAAATAAGGTTGCCAGTGTCGGAGTGATGGAGGTTAACAGGTACTAATGAATTTGCAAGAAATGTAAGATGTTTATTTTATTGGTTATATATAACCAATAAAAGTTTAATAAGTACCTACCTATTTGCAAAATAAAGTTTAATTCTTTAGATAAAATAAAACGTTTTATTTTATCTGAAATGAGTGCATTCCACGAAGTAAGGGTTTTAACAATCAAACATTTAATTCTTTAATTCCAGGAATCTACGACAGTAATTGACTAGATAATTACCTTCTGAACTTATTCCACAGAAAATGTGATAGTGGGTTTTTCCATTTTGTAGGAAGGTCCAAGTGGCGTATTCAAAATTCTTAACAGTTCACTAAAAGTAGGTACTTCAGTTGCAAGGTGCAGTTTATTGTGTATACTAGTGTTATGGAAAATTTGGAAGTGCCGTGTAAACGCCGAAAAATTGGTCCTTTAACAGTTAATGAAAAAACATTAATATTTAATTGTTTTAAATCATTTACAGACAAACGTTTATGTGAAAGTGTTGATGAGACCGTTGAGTTAGTTGGCAGTACACTTGGTGTTGGGAAATCTACGATTTACAGAGTTATTAAAGAAGAGAAATGTGGTAGTTTTCAAATGCCACGTAATGCTCCAGGGAAACCAAAATTTCAAATAGAATATCATTTTAAAGAAGGGCTTCGACGGAAAGTGCATGAATTCTTCTTTAGACAAGAATTTCCAACATTGGATAAAGTTCTTGTCTCAGTTCGAGACGATAAGGATTACCCAGAAATGAGTCGAAGTACGTTATGGAAACTTTTAAAAGAAATAGGCTTCCGCTGGAAAAAGAATCCCAGAAAGTCTATTTTATTAGAAAGAAGCGATATTGTCATATGGAGAAGACATTTCCTAAGAACCATAAAGGAAATGAGAAACCAAAAAAGAAAAATATTTTATCTTGATGAAACATGGATCAACGAGGGTCATACACCAAATAAATTTTGGCAGGATGAAACTGTTACAAGTCAAAGGCACGCTTTTGTAAATAACTTATCTACTGGTTTAAACCCACCATCAGGAAAGGGACGCAGGCTGATAATAGTACACATTGGCAGTTCAGACGGTTTTGTTAAAGGTGGTTTATTAACTTTTGAATCAACTCGTACCGGTGACTACCATGAAGACATGAACGCTGATGTCTTTCAAGAATGGTTCGAACAAATGATAGATCTTCTTCCTAAGAACTGTGTAATAGTAATGGATAATGCAAGTTATCACTCCAGACTTATAGAAGGACTGCCCACAACCAAGTGGTTAAAAAAAGACTTGCAGAATTGGCTGAGTTCAAAAAATATTACGTACCATCCCGGATCTATAAGAAAGGAACTTTATTCGTTGTGTGCCCTTCATAAAGAAAAATTTAAAAAATACGAAATTGATGAAATTGCCAAAAATCGTGGAATGACAGTATTTAGATCCCCACCATATCATTGTGAATTAAACCCGATTGAACTGGTATGGGCACAGATAAAGAGTGAAGTTTCAAGAAAAAATACCACTTTTAAAATTCATGATATTAAACAGTTGTTTTTGGAGGCCGTAAATAATGTAAAACCTGAAAACTGGGAGAAAAGGCAGTAAATCACACTATTAAAGAAGAGGAAAAAATGTGGAAGCTGGACAATATTACTGATAAAATGATCGAGCCAGTTATTATAAATCTTGGTTCTGAAAGTTCATCTTCTGAATCTGATTTGGATTTGTAACAAGTAAGTTTTATATTAATATTTTTATTCATCTATTTAACATACCTTAAACGGTTTTAAAAACTCTTTTTCTCTTTTATAATTTTTAAAAATTAAAAAAAATGTGCATTTTTTTAAACCCTTTTTAATGTAGGCCAGTCAGTTCTAATATAGTGTGTGATGAAAGAGGTCACTTTTGTTTACATACACATAACACTGAAATAATTCATTTATTTTTTACAATTATTCAAAGTAATTTTTCAATTAATCTTTAGCACGCCCATGGAGTGGTCGAAGGTACCAGTTAAAATTATGCTAATTACTCTCTCGTTCAGAAAAATAAACTATAGTATACTCTTAATAATAACACCAACTCTGATTCTATAAGTATATTATTTTAAAACATAAATGATGTATCCTTGATATGTCCACTAATAGTGGCATTTTCTTTATGTTGATTTCCTCTTTTAACTTGTGTCACGAGACTCCTTCTTTTTTCCAGATTCATCAGAGCCACTTCTAATTATGTTAGAGCCACTTCTAATTATATTAAATATGTGGCACCACATGCGGGTCATCAGCCTTCGTATTCAGATCATCCGCCCTCGGACTTGTATACTCGGCGGCTGAATACGCTTCTCCGGTATGTCTCAATAGCAAACACACAAAGAATATTGACACCCAATTAAACCAGACAATGTGAATTATCTCAGGTACAATTAGACCAACAACGAACTATTGGCTTCCCTTTCTGAGTCACATTCCACCATCGAAACTGCGAAGAAGTTATTCTCTTTTCAGAGAGTATAAAAAAATCGAGGCTAACCATCAACTACGCATCCATCACAATAAGCTTGATATCGCCATAAACAGACTCCAGATATCCTCCATTGTTAAGAGCCAACTCCTTACATCAGAAACATTTCAACCTTACCAACGCTTGGATGAGACAATGGGTGAACAACTCACCACAGAAAGCATACCAAATGGCCTTTATCGATCAGAAATTGCCAGGCTTTGAACAGAATAAGAACAATCAGCATAAGCAAGGTAGCAATTTAAGTAAACCCAGCCTGTAAGATATGTTCACCCCTAAGATTTACGTTTGGGTGTAACAATTCATTGGAGCAAGGTGTATTAACTCGAGTTAAAAACAGAAGTCCCCCCACTACGCTCCAATGCTCTAAACCATCCCTTTCCTCACTATTGCACTCTGATGCGCAATAAGGGCACACCTGTAAGCCAAAAGCTCTTTTTTTGGGGTAATAAAACTCCAAGATGGTTCCTGATAGAACAAGCAGCAGTAGATGTGCTGACAGCTTATACAGAAAAGCCCTTACTCCTGAGTGTTATTGTGATGGGCAACGACAGGCCGTCTGTCATACTGTTGAAGAATTCTTCCGAAGGCGATTCCCTGGAGCTTTCGATGAGTTCCTGAATGCGACCGAAAATGTTTTACATTACAATAATAATACATTAGATGTTCGTTTGTAATACTCCATGTAACGTTTTAAATTATTTTTAATTATGTGTTCTTATTGTATGCCATACAATAAATAAATAGAGCCGCTTCTTAGATTTTTCTCTTTTTACCATCTATTTCTTTTGACTATACTTGAATCTTTCCACTTAACTCTATGTTCATTTTACCATGCGTGTTTACATATTTGAGATCTATCAAATTTTATATTTTTAATATTATGATAATTTTCACGTATTCTAATTTTAATGGTCTTGATGTTTCACCCAAATAAAAATGTTCGCGTTTACAAGGTATTTTATAAATAATTAAGCATAAAAAAACATAGATGATGGATCCTCGATACGTTATTGACTTATTAATAGTTATTGTTAGGGTTAGACTTATTGATAGGGTTAGTTTTAGAAAAAAAAATAGACCACAATGTGTTTGTTGTTTTTCATAATTTTGAAATGTTGAATTTATTTCCAATCGTTTTTCCGATAGTCTTTTTATATGGTATTGTTATTTTCCTCGTATTATTTCTTACGAATGTTATAGAATCTCGTTTCAAGTGATTCTCTTGCATTCGGTATCATTCCTAATTTATAAATGACAAAGAGTAATCATTTTTAAATAAAACATTATGTTGAAATATGTCATTCTCCTCTAGGAACGAATTTTCGTTAGAACAAATAATTTTGGGTTTATAGTATAATTTAATAATTCCCTTTTTAATATTGATGTGATTTGATTTGTCATTTAGATATTTGTTGGTGTTTGTTGATTTTTTCTACACTCGAGTTTAATATTCAGTATCCTTCTTTTAGAATAAAACATCCAGGAAAGGTAGTGTTATTATTGTAGCGTGATTAAATAAAACGAGCGGTTCGAATTTATATAAATATATTTATTTATAACTTTACAGTTCGGTACTATCCTATCAACTAAACTTAACTCCTAATTTCGTTACATATATATATACAAAAGTTACTATGTTCGAGAATATTCAGGAGTAGTCCCATCTCTAATTCGTT